GGTTCGGATCAGCGTCAAAGTTTACACGTAGTCCTACGTTTACCTCGAGTTCTTTTTCAAGTCGCTCCTTGATCTGGCGAGTGGTTACGAATTTTCCTTCACGCCCTGCAAATGGCGAGTTGTTTACGAGCAGATCGAGTTGGATAGTCGGCTCATCCACGGTGATCGCTGGGAGTGGTTCTACAGTAGCATCCACACCAACGGTCTCTCCGATATAAATATCTGCAATTCCGGCAATCATACATACGTCTCCCGCTACAGCCTGGTCTGCGTCAATACGCTTGATACCTTCGAATGTAAACAGTTTAGTAATTTTACCCGTACGAGATGTTCCGTCAGGCTTCTTGATGGTTACATTCTGACCATTTTTAACAATTCCTTCGTATACACGTCCTACTCCGAGTCGCCCGAGGAAATTATCATATGCCAAGTTAAACGGCTGCATACGAAATGGCTTGGTCGTGTCGTTCTCTGCTGCAGGAACTTTTTCGAGTACTACATCCAGCAGTGCTGACATGTTTGACCACTCGTCCTCTGGAGCTTTTTTACTGAGTCCATCACGTCCGATAGTGTAGATGGTTGTAAAATCAAGTTGCTCGTCGGTTGCACCGAGCTCCATAAATAGTTCGAACACTTCATCGTGAGCACGGGCAATATCTGCTCCTGGTTTATCAATTTTATTGAGTACGAGGATTGGTTTAATACCCAGGTCAAGTGATTTCTTTAGTACGAAACGAGTCTGTGGCATTGGTCCCTCCTGTGCATCTACGATGAGCAGTACACTGTCCACTGAGCGTAGTACACGCTCTACCTCTGACCCGAAATCGGCGTGACCTGGCGTGTCTACGATGTTGATTTTAGTGTCACGGTAAAATACCGAAGTGTTTTTAGCATAGATAGTAATACCACGCTCCATTTCCAGGGCGTTGTTATCCATTGATACTCCCTCTTCACGCATACCACAAAATTCCAGAATTTTGTCTGTGAGGGCTGTTTTACCATGATCCACATGGGCGATAATTGCAATGTTTCGAATTTCCATAATAAGTAAAAAATAAGGTTAAAAAAATAATAGTACCACGATTTATTGTGGTACTATATACTATTAAAAGAGTTTTGTCTATTTTTCTAATGGGTCTTTTGGTCCAGCTATTCCATATAAAAATCCAAAATGTGTTATATAATCTCTGTGTCCACATGAAGTACAATGGACATTTCTTTGTGGCGGCAGACTTTCTAGGATACATCCATCTGTGTACTTTAATATACCCTCATCACACTTAGGACATTGTACGGATTTTGCAGAGTTTAATTCATCTGCAACTTCTTTGCTTACTTGAGATGCTGTATAAATTAGGTGGTTATACTGACGTGCCGACAATTTTTCTGAATATTTTGGACTATTCCAAGGTAGGCTATCATCTTCAATCCCTAAATCTTTTAAAAGATTTTCTAGGATTTTCAAATGTGATAAGCCTGGGTTAGAATCTTTCAGTTCTAAATATTTTTTTAAGAATATTTGATCTTCTTCAGAAGAATTTGCAACTATATGAATAAGTGTACTTTTTTTCATTTGATTTAATTTAAAGGATGAAAACTAAATATATATTAGGATATTATTAAAAATAAGTCAAGTACTGGGGGTGGGTTTTCCACAGTTTTATAGACTTCTTCATTACTCCTCACCGCTTCGCGGAGCTCCTCTACAAGAGGAGCTTGTAATATAACGTTCGATTACTTCCTCCTCTTTTAGAGGAGGTGTCCGTAGGACGGAGGAGTACTAGGATTCTGTACAAATTGGCAAAACCTGATATAATAGCCCTAACACGCCTCATCGGCGCATAAATTATGGCAACAGTAAAGAAAATCCCTAGTCCCTCCTCTTCGGCGGGCAAGAAAAAAGGTCCGTTTCAGTCAGTAAAAGGCATGCGGGATATTTCGGGTGCTGATTTTTACAGTATCCAAGGCTTTATCGAAAAAGCCCAGGAAATAGCCGAATACTATGGATTTAAACCTTTTGAAACACCAATCCTCGAGGAAACTGGTGTGTTTACCACAGCTATCGGTGAAGGAACTGATGTCGTGGACAAAGAAATGTATACTCTGAAAACCAAAGGTGGCGACAACCTGGCACTACGCCCAGAACACACTGCAGGGACTATGCGTGCATATATCGAAAACGGTATGGCTTCCCTGCCTCAGCCAGTACTGATGTACCACTATGGACCAGTATTCCGTCACGACACTCCACAAAAAGGCCGTTACCGTCAGTTTACGACATTTGACCTGGATGCGTATGGATCTGAGAAAAGTATTATCGATGCATTAGTTATCCGAACTACCTACACTATTCTCCAAGAATCAGGAGCAACAAATCTCTCAGTGGATATTAATAGTATTGGAGACAAAGAGTGCCGTTTAAAATATCTTAAAGAACTTACAAGTTATTTTAAAAAACACCAAAAAGAACTTTCAGTAATTGATAAAGAACGTCTTACTAAAAACCCACTACGCTTATTGGATAGTAAGGATCCTAAAACTGTAGCACTTTGTGAAAATGCACCCGGCATGATTGATCACTTGTGTGCTGACTGTAAAAAACACTTTAATGAAGTTATTAAATATCTTGAAGAAATGAATATTCCTTATAACCTAAACAAAGGTCTTGTGCGAGGATTGTCATATTACACACGAACTGTTTTTGAAATTATGGAAGAAATT